CCTCATTTGACAAAGGGAGGCAACAATTATAGCACCTTCCTCATAGGATCATGGTAAGTATTAAAGTTGTAATACACATAACCACTTATTGGCACATAGTTAAGTATTCGGTAAGTGTTAGCTACCATCGCCATCATCATTATTAAGGATTAACTGATATATTTCAAGGTTATCACTATACATAACTTAAGGGTATTTCTATAAATACTCATTTGACCTGCCGATAAACTACAATCTGAATTAAAATAATAAGTTGCTAAGTAATACAATAATTCCTCTACTCCCCACAAGAATATGTGGCCACAGTAGGGCTAGTATTTAAAACTTCATAGGACCAACTGCTTGTAATTGTACTTCAGTTTAAACTTTTACCTACTGAAAGACAAGTATGTACTTTGCTATAAGGCAATCCATTAAAAAGTCTGCAAGTTATTTAACTGATACTTCTGTGGTGTTACTGAAGAACTCATTAGACAGTTGCAATTAATATTCTGTAATAGATTCTAGAAAAATCTAAAAATGCCATTTATATAAATCTGATAGGAAGAAACAGAAATAGAGAAGAAACTGAATTAGAGAAAACTATAATTTTAGGTATAAATGAAAAATCCTTTTGATATTTCTTTTTTTTTCTTTTTTCTTTTTTTGGTTGCTTGGTTGCTAGGTTGATAAGACTGCAATTTGAATGCTGCATCAACACCATTCAAGACACCTGTGGGGCGCCTGGGTGGCTCAGTTGGTTAAGCGACTGCCTTCGGCTCAGGTCATGATCCTGGAGTCCCGGGATCGAGTCCCACATCGGGCTTCCTGCTCGGCAGGGAGTCTGCTTCTCCCTTTGACCCTCCCCTCTCTCATGTGCTCTCTCTCATTCGCTCTCTCTCAAATAAATAAATAAAATCTTTAAAAAAAAAAGACACCTGTGGATCTCAGTGTCTTGATGACAACAGAGAAAGTTTTGTCTGTGCTTTAAAAACATTCAAGTTGCTTCTCTCCTAGGGAATCCACGTCTGATCTCCCAGCTCTGCCATTTTGAAATATCATATGTCACCAGAAGACTCCAGGATAGACTGCCTAAGACTGTCCATCCTCGCACAAGGCAGAGGAAGGAGAGATAATAATGTGTAATAAAATAGCTCTCCTGGTAACAGGAAAACTAAACTGACATCAGAATTGGGACAAAGCCGTGCTGACATCACAAGTTTGGCTCAATACCTAGTGCTCTCTCAACTTATTTAGGCCATCCCCACAACCTGACATCCCTCGTGAGGTGTACCAAAACCCAAATGTTTTTCCATATGCTCCTTTTTCTTATAACACCAAGCCACCTTTTCATTTATATTGATAATATACTGCAAAAAAAGTCCCAGGGAAGGGATGCCTGGAGATATGTCCTTAAATATATCTCTGAAATTTCCCAAGAATTCAGTGTCAACTTTGAATGACAAAATTCTGTACCTAAATAAATAATTTTCTATGAAAAGAGCAGAAATTTTTAAAATCCTGTAAAACCCTGAGTAGGTCAAATATTTTTTCAAATATTACATTTTTTTCCTTTGCTGTAATAAAATTAATATTTAATAAGAATCACCCATTTTTTATGGGGTCTAAGAATTCTTTTGGTTCATTTTAAGCCACATCTTTCACGGTTAGAATTTTCTGGTTCAGTTGGAAATATTTTTCAGAAGTCTAAACATACAGTTCAACTAATTATTCTGAAATGTGTGCATGTGGGAAGAATTGTTTTGCTTATGAGATCCTTCAATAATTCATATATTTAAATCATCATTTCCAAAGCAAATTTTCCAAAATCAAATAAATTGCAAAACTACAAGTAAACTAAGTCTCTAAAAAAGAGTTCCAATCCTCTGCCAAACAGACCTCAAATTCTTAATCCCTTGTCCAAAAAAATTGGACCAAGTATTGACGTTTTCCACCAAGCCAGCCACATAGCCACAAATGTTTCTCATTTACTCCACTCCTGGGACATACAGCTCAAATAAAAAATTTCCTGAATACCCCAAATTTCAGATACAATTTGGAATGTAAGTGATTCATAATGTTATGCAGGAAACATTATGATCTTCTCCTACCAACTCAATGTTTCTGGAATGCAACCCTCAGGAGATTATCCCAACAAATCAGAAGGCTGACATCACCGTCAGCCTTGTGACCCAACTATTATGTCCTCTGCCCCTAGCTCAGATGTGATTTTGAGCCCTGAACGCTCTGCTACTCCAGCTACCGTTCAAGTAAAACAGACGCTCCACCAAGGGAGCTAACAAAGATCCATACTGTGCTCCATGGCAAGTAACATGGTTAGAGTGCACTCACCCCCCTCTAAAGAAAGGCCAAAACTACGTTAAAAGAAATTAAAGGCACTGTCATCACTTGTGCACCAAAAGACTCCCCCAGTGGCCTCCAAACAGATTCTAATTAAATTTGAGGGTGAAATTTCACAGAGCCTCTAATTAGTTTATGAATCCTCTTCTAATCCCATCCTGCTTCACCTCCTCTTAAATCAAATAATAATTTCTGGGAGTATCAAAGTTGCAACAGTCATCCCTCGTAGATTCCTTCTTTCTTTCAAGGAAAGAAGCACAGCTGACCTATCGGAAGAACAGTACTGTACTGAAGACCCAAATGAACATGAGAACTGTCTAAGTCTTAGCAACTGCGGTGACTAAAAAAGAGAGACATGCAGGTGGTCCTATATAATGAAATAAAGTAATAGGGCATGTAGGTGCGAATGTGGGTTAAGAGAAGATGGAGATAAACACCTACTGACATAGTAGTCCATTACCTAAAGGGATCATTACAAGCAAAATGTACAGTGAAAGGGAACTCTTCAACAAGGCTTATCTGAGAGAGCCTGACACAAAACTCAAAGCTGAGCGGGAGACACCTTGGAAGCTGGGCAAATGGAGAGAGTTACTGGTGCTACAGAAATAACAGCCAATAGGAAGAAATGTCTCAAACACAAGGCATCTGAGCAAAGGTGAAAGTTATTATTTAAGCATAAGGAGAAAAGAATCTAGTTTAAATAGAATAACATTCTCTAAAACGCAATAATAAAGAAACAACACAAAACAATGGGTTTGCCTAAAGTAAATTTCATGGGTCTGTAGGCTTTTTGATAGCAGTAACATTCACAAGGAAACACTAAAACTGAGTCTGTAGATTAAAATTATGAGGTAACTGGGGATGCTGTGAAATGACTGCATCAGGAAACCACGAAAAAAAATACAAAATACTTGAAAAAAAGTTAATGTCTACACATTTAAAAAGATCAGTTGACATCTGTGGTTGGATCAATGTATGTCATGGATAATCTGAAAAATGACTTGAATATCTCTAACTGCCGAAAGATCCTCTTTTCCAGCCCAACGTAGCCTGATCGTAAGAGGCATCTCTCATTTATCCAGACAAAAAAAGACAGTAATCACACTGGTCATCCGATACTTATTTGTACTGAAAAAAACATTGGTTAGCAAATAACATCAGGAAATGTTATATTCTAGATGACGATCTTTTCTGGTTACTCTAAAACCTAATTCTGTGCATTTTCCCTCTTGTGACTGTTGGTTTACACTCATAATTGAGTGAAATCAGCACAAGCCTCAGCAAATTATTAAACTTAAGAGTTTTTCTGATTTGCGTAAATGACATGACGTTTAAGAAGCTTCTAGAACGGGACACATGGTAAAAACTTAAGGAAACATTAGTTCCCTTATTCTTTTCCTTCTCTCTTATTTCTGCCAACCATAGCTTTGCTTCTTCTTTTGCAGTTTAGGAACCAGGAGCTGTGTTTTCACATGCGATCAGCCAATTTCCCAAAAGAATGCAATGTTTCTTTGTTCTGTTAATCATCTGATCAAAGAGTTTTAATTAGAGGACCCCTCTAAAAACTTATTGCCTTAACTTTTTCTCTTCTCGGCCTAATTTCTACTAAGGAATCACCTAAGTTCAATCATAGTTTCTATCAGAGCCCAATGTTATGTGCAGCACTATACTAGGATAGAGGGATACAGAATTCAGTAAAATATGGTTTCTACTTAGGACGGTTAATTTCATGTGTTAACTTGACTGGGCAATGGGATTCCCAGATAGTTGTTCAAACATCATTCCGGGTGTTTCTGTGATGGTGTTTTGGCATGAAAATAACATTTAAATAGATGGACTTGAGTAAAAGAAATTGCCCTCCACAGTGTGGGTGAGCCTCATCCAGGCAGTTGAAGGCCTGAACAGAACAACAGGGTGACCCTCCCCCAAATAAGAGAATTCTCCTGCTTGATGAGCTTCAAACTGGAATATCTGTTCTTCTAGCCTAATGGCACGTGAAGTGGGAAATTGGTTCTTCCTTGTTCTACAGCAGCCCGTGGCCTCTAGACTCAAAGCGTGACATTAGCTCTGCAGACTTTGGATTTGGCCAGACTCTTCCATAACCACATAAGCCAATTCCTTAGAATAAATCTCTCTCTGACAGATTTAGATTTAGATACAGATATAGCTATATAGATATAGATATATAGATCCCATTGGTTCTACTTCTCTGGAAAACCCTGACTAATACACTATCCTCAAGAAGCTCAAAATCCAGTCATGGGGATATACCCAAGTAAACCTTCTCCATGAAGCCTTTCCCAAACAATGACACAGAATACTGTACTATGAGCCAAATAAACCATCAAATAAAGAAACCATCAATAAATGTTCACTGAATAAATTATAAGTACTTGAAAACAAGACCTGTCAAGGACAATATCAGACCATGTAACTCATTCCCCCAAGAATTCTCATAAAGAGAGTGATCTGGTGTCAATTTACAACCAGACTTGCCCCTTTCCTGCATATGCTGAATGAATGAGATTTCTCTGCTTTACGAGTTAGTTACTGTTATTTGAAGCAGATCACTGGGAATAAATTTAAAACAGGGAGTGCAGTTATAAATTAGTTCATTCCCCTCACAGTGCATAGTACAAATAAGAAGCAAATAAGCTCACTTGAATGGCAGCCAAGTTCTTCTGCTCCTGAGATGGTGCCTCATGAACAAAGCGAAGCCAGTTGGAGTGTCGTGGGTTGGTGGCATCCAATATGTATAGAACTTCTCCATTACTCCCACGAACCTGAAACATAAAAAGCTCCTGAGTTTGTACCTGAAGTCAGTATTAGTTATACTAAACATATTAAGGGTAGGATATGATATTTTTTTTCATAAGTATATACCTTTCTTATTGACAGGTGTTGAAATGATGCTGGATTAACATCCACTCTTCCCCTTAAACATACGTACAAACAGAGCCTCCTATTTTATTTGGCAGATGTCTAGATGACTCACAATTGCAAGCAACTCTCAGAAACATCCTGTGTTGATAGCTCTTTTCTGGTTAAAATTATTTGTTTGTAGGTATATTTTAATATATGTGTTGCAACTGCAATCACTCAGGGGATAACCGTAATTGCAACCTGTCCCCTTTTTTTCCACAGAGGAGGGTGATACTGCTTTGTTCCCAGTTGAGGGGGGTGGAGCTAGAGCAATCCTTTCAATTTCTCTCTCCACCTGTTTACTGAATCATTTCCATATGAGGAGAACTTGCTAATGAAACCAATGGAACCTGACATCCACTGAGCCACATTTTCACAATTTTAACTAGTTGATGAATAAAACAGGTTCCATTTTGTCTTTTCATGGCCTGTTCATGGCTTGCTGAGGATGGTGGGCCCTCTGCCTTGTGTTTCATGCCATAAAGCCTCCTGGTCAGACCCACTCAAGATTCGGTTGGAGGGAGGGAGGTAACTGCCAACATAGTGGGTAGTCCATTGGACATTCGTGAATCCAAGTTGCTTCAAATGGAGCTTCTCCAAAGCCCCCACACTGTAGGTTATCAGGCACTGCTCAGTTTAATAATGCATATATCAATCTCCATTCAACTCGCTCTGTGTTTATATTCAATTGAAATCCAGGGGAGGAGGAAAGAAGGAAATGAGTGATTAGCACTTCAGATCTCTAACACCAAGTAACACAAATATAAGAACATAAATTCACCCTTGCAGACTTGGGTGGGGATAAACAAATTCTACATTTCCAAAATCTTATTTAATAAAATACAGCACAACCAGCCTACTAAGGTATGTATTTTCATGATACATTTGGACAATCATGCATTCCCTGGACATAATCTCTTGAGTTCCTGCCATGGGCCAGGTACAGCTTCAGTCTCTGGGACTCTTTCAGTGAACAAGACAGATGAAGCTTAACGTCGCAGCACTTAAGAACAAACAAGCATAGAATATAACTTCAGGTAAAGAGAAGAGCTGTGAAGACAACTAATGCAGAGCTAGAAGAAGCAGACTGAGCAGAGCCGAGCAATCTCAGAGAAGAGGGTCGGGCATAGTCTGTCTGATGAGGTGACCTGAGAAGAGCTCTAAAGAAAGCAGGCACCGGCCAGTGGCCAGTGGAGGGCTGGAGAGAGTGCTCCCAGGAGGATGGAACAGCACAGAAAAGGCAAAGAGAAAGGCTCTGGGAGTGGAACAGAAGGAGCCAACCAAAAAAAACGAGGGGCATCCAGATCAGACTACACAGGCCCAGTCACACACTGATGTACAGACTAGGAAAGCCATCTACAGAGGTCACGTTACCCCCAAAAACTTACATTGAAAAATCTGCTACACGCACTACAAAAACTTTTATGTCAGGATTTTAGCATCTATTGTCCAGAAGAAATAGTTTGCCTGTTCCTACTACCTTATACATTCACTGCCATGTTTCTCAAACAATTCCTGTTTTCTTCAATGACAAAGCATCCTCGATAATCATTTAAAAATCTCGCTAATGAGATGCCAGACCTCACTGAGGAGGAATTTATTATTTAATATTATAATTTGATATTTTATATTATAATTGCTTAATTATAAATCTGAAATTTGATATTATAATTGCTAAAAGAAGAATTTAGGACTATAAACACCTACTATTTATCTCTCACATGTTGAGGTGTGAAGCTATGGGAATTTGTAACTTCTCACTGAAAAAACCTCATGGTGAGAAGATCTCCTTTGGGAGACACTTGAAAATTGTATTACATTCCTGCTTACCCCTCAAGGCGGAACCCTCACTGCCCACTGCCTCACTGCCCACTGATAGGCAGAAGCTACACTCGAGCAGTAGAAGGAATATCCCTAAGGCAGAGTCCCAAATCCTTGGAGGGGAATGACAGAGACAGGAGGGGGAGGCAAGGACGGTGATAAATAAGCTACACATTAAAAGCCCCAGGGGCATGACATCCTGACCTTGTGGCTTCCAAGACCTTGGGGCAGACAGATCAAGAGCCACAGGTGCAGAACATGCCCTCTCTTCCTCCACCTCTGCCACAGGGTAACCCCTAGGCTCATTATAATGCATTTGCATTATGGGTACAGCCTCCCTTCCCCCCCAAGGAGAAGGCTGCCAAGAAGGTTCTGGCATAAACCTCATAGGGTCAAACTCCCCCTCCCAACCTGTAGGAGGAGTTACCCAAATGACTGGAAGCAGCCTCCATTAGAGACCACCCCACAGTAAGTCATAGCTCCTCCCCACCCTGAGAGACCCAGTAATACCCAATCCCAAAACAACCTAGGGGCAGGTTCCACCTCTCAGAATCTGCCCCCTCTCCCACCTTGAGAGTATTCATTCCCTTTAATGAACTGCTTTGTGCTTGCTACTTTCCTTCTGGCTGTCTTTATTGGAGTGCAGATCCCCACATAAATCTTCTGGGGAATCCAAGGACTGAGACCTCCATTCACACAACAGACTCTCTCTCACCCGTAACACCACTACTGTTGAAATCCACACAATCCAGCTAATTTTATGTAGGGAAACACCAATGGCTCTGTCAGTGACATATCTCAGTTTGAGAGGATTGCACTACTTACAGAAACTAGTCAATGGCCCTTCTAAGTCAGACATTTGTCGCCTGGTATTAAGTACAGTATATATCAGATGTGTTTGACATTTGGAATTCTTTCTTCAAAGATGTGAAATATAACGAAGATTTCTCCGTGATTTACAGTGAGTACATTTTACCAGGGGCATTGCTTGTTCTTCGTATATTTCAGCTTTCTCCCAGGCCCTTTGGCTCCAACTATGTCCAATTATTCACTATTAGTGACTCATTTCCAGTCCATTAGATGTAAGCACTCTCTGGTTGTCTATAACCTTCTCACACCATATTACACCTTAAGAGACAAGCACAGTTTAATTTCACATTAAAACTCCGATGATACCTGTCACTTTCAATACATCCAAATTTATTTTTTTAAGATTTTATTTTTATTTATTTATTTATTTATTTGTCAGAGAGAGAGACTACAGTGGGGAGAGTGGCAGGCAGAGGGTGAAACAGGGTCCCCGCTGAGCAGGGAGCCTGACGTGGGGCTGGATCCCAGGACCCTGGGATCATGACCTGAGCCGAAGGCAGCCATTTAACCGACTGAGCCATCCAGGTATCCCTCAGTACATCCAAATTTATATATTGGTTCACTTTTACTTATAGTCTCATAACAACACTATCATAAGAAGTAATGTACTATAGTTGCTTACATATTCATAGTTGAGATAATTTTTTGTGGTCATTAACAGACCCACTGCCTGTTTATTTTATTCTAAACACCTTTACCCAAATGACTTTTCAGTTCCTTCGCAATCTTTGCAGGCTACCTGTCTTCTCCAACTTTTAAATGCTTCATTCCCCTATCCCAGTCTTCAACACTTCACTGAAACTCTTAGATTATCTGCACACATAACTTGTATCTTCCCACCCTAACCACAGCATTCTCCTCATGAAATATCTAAAAGAGACATTCAAAGCTAATCTAAGCCATCCTTCCTCTCCAGAGAAACCAAGTAAAAACTCTCCATACAGATGGCTACTATTAAAGTCTCCATTTATCTATTTTTAATTTGATACTGAACCCTGAGGTAATAAATTGAACATTTTTAAAGTCTAACAAATAAAGAAGATATTCCTCTTAGTATCATGTTCTAGCATCTAACTAAGCTCTGCAGCCAAAGTATATTTTTTTCCCTGTCAAAAGTGGACTTCCAAATACCATCATCTTTTATTTGAATTTTCACGAAAATGAAGTGTATTGGTTACTGTCCTACTGAGGACCGTCTTCTGCATGCCTGGGGGCCTGTAATGAAGTGAATGTTCTCCTCTTGCAGTAAAAACCATCTCAATCCCAAACCCTGTTTGATCTGCACAGACTTCCTAAGCCAGTTACACAAAAAAAAATTAGCTAAGGTGGGAAAGGGAAAGAATCCCTCATATAAAAATGAAAATATTCACATTTCCATATAGCTGTTTATATGTCTATGAACTTGCCACTTAATATTAAATGTAAATTAGAACTGTGTAGGAATTTGGCAGGTTCTAGTCTCTGTTAAATGCTACTGACATCACTTCTGAAGTGTTCAAGAGAACGTGCTACTATGGATCTGTCCCTTTTTTCAGACCAAAGATTAGTAGTACTAAATATAAGTCACACTTGATTTTGTCTTCCCACCCAGTAAAGAAGAGATCACACACACAAAAAAATTCAGCTCAATAAGAAAAAAATCCTAACTTGTTTTTTTTTAAAGATTTTATTTATTTATTTGACAGAGTGTGAGGGAGAGAGCACAAGCAGGGGGACTGGGAGAGGGCAGAGGGAGAAGCAGGCTCCCCACTAAGCAGGGAGCCTGAAGTGGAGCTCCATCCCAGGATCCTGGGATCATGATCTGAGCCGAAGACAGATGCTTAACCAACTGAGCCACCCAGGCGCCCCCTAATTTATAAATAAAAGGAAAAAACTGGCAATAGGTAACCAGTACAAATTTTCTTTCCTTAAAGTTAAATATTTTCTGTGTTAAATTGGGTCAACTATAGACAGAAGAGCTTTTTATTATTTGGATAGTTAATTTTTACAAGAAAAAAAATCTACAGCGTTATTTACTCTATTATTCTGAATGCCTGGGGAATTTTTTACTCACTACATAATAGGACACCAGGGCAAAGCTAATCAGTCATATTTGTCCCCAGACACAGCAAAATGTAACCAGTAGAATTTTATTTAAGATATGGTAAAATTTAACAGCAGTGAAGTACAGTCAGTTCCAAAATATATAGTAATAATGTCC